TATGTTGCCCTTGCTCCCCCCTTCCCCCCAAGTCCGAGTTTCAAATATGTCCATCCTTCGGGCGGTGCGCATTGCACTCTTTGTGTATGCATATACCTGTCCCCTCCTCCCTCCTCCCCCCTCCCCCCAGCCCAACATCCAATAGATGTTATTCTTATATGTGCACTTATGTGTTGATCAGTTAATAGGGCCCAGACCTTTTGAGCACCCTCTGGCAGGTGACCACGCTGGAGGGGTGGGAAGGGGCCAAAGACACAAGGCACACCCGCCTGACGCACATTAAGCGGTAACTCCAAGGCTCCTTCCTGCGGAGGCTTCCCACAGCCGCCTGGCCTCCGCCCACTCCCACAGACTCTGGGTGGGCAGGACCTCTGTGTGGCTCCCCCAGAGGAAGTAACCCTTTTGGGAGAGGTAGCACCTTCACATTCGAGGGTGGTCCATGGGTACAAGGGGTGCCCCAGCTGGGTAGAAGAAAGTGACACCCCCAGAGGCTGGACTGTCTGCTAGCCCAGGTGGTGACTTTCTGTGTCCCAAAAGTGGTGACTAACAGGGAGGACGGCCACCCTCTTCCTGTGCTGGGCTGTGCCTGTGGCCTGGAGGCAGATACACCTCCAGGTGCAGGCAAGCCGCCCAGATAGGAAACTGGGTGGGAGAGCCCAGGAAAATGGGCCCAGACTCACGTAGAATGATGTGTTCAGTGTCCATCTCCCTGTACAGATGAAGGTCCAGTGGGATGGGGACCTTGTCTTGTCTGTCTGTCCCCATCCCTAGGGTCTATAAGTCTGCTACACAGGAGCAGCTCCACAGATGTTTGTTGAATAAATGACGGGTGAATGAATGAACAACCTGACAAGATTAAGGGAATCATAGTGTCCAGTGCAGAGCATGGGTGGGGGAGCGAACGACAGTATTTGTTCCTTGGAAGAGGACTAGAATTTAAGGAGGGGGAGACCCAGCCAAGGCTTTCTTCCTGGGTGCCCGGAGGGAATTAAACATTAATTAAACATTAAACATCTCCCCCCAGCAAGATGTTCCTAAGAGGCCATCTAGACCAGCACGCCTCAAACTGTAATGTGCACACAGACCACCCATGGATCTGGCCGACAAGTAGACTCCCAGGCAGCAGGTCTGGGTGGGGCCTGGGATTCTGCATTTCTGATAAGCTCTCGAGTGACGCTGGTGCCACGTCCAGGGACCCCGCTCTGAGCAGGAAAGTGCAAGGTGGGGGTGGTGAGGATTAAGCCAGAGCAGTGGCTGGGCAGGGGCCGAGTTCAGAAGTGACAAGCTGACCCAGTTAGGGCGTGTCCTTACTCCAGGTGGCAGTCCTGTTGAGGAAGGAGCAGAGGAGAGAATGGGCAAGAGGAGGGCAGGGGAGGTAAGGGGCACACAAACCTTTTCCCTGAAGGGCCGGATGGGAGATAGTCTAGGCTCACCTGGTTGTAAGGTCTCTGTTATATCATCAAATAGCCACGGGCCCTAGGTGACAAGTGTGGCTGGACTCCAGTAAGTGTTCCCAGCACCCGCTGGGTTCACCTGTGGGCTTCAGTTTGCAGACCCCTGACCCAGATATCAGCCAAGTAGCCAATTCCACAAGTCACGCAGCAGCCTTGTCTGCTCGTGGACGGGAAGAGACATTTCGGGGCTGCTCTAGTTTGAATGTGTTCCCCAAAGTTCATGTGTTAAAAACTTAAGCCCCAGTGCAGCAGGGTTGAGAGGTGGGAAAGTGATGAGGCTGCGAGGGCTCTGCCCTCGTGAATATCATGTCCTCATCTCAAGAGTGGGCTTGTTCTAAGAGCCAGTCCAGCCCCTCTGGCACTGTCTCGCCATGTGACGCTCCGCTCCGTGTTCTGATGCAGCAAAAGGGCCCTCCCCAGATGCGGTCCCGCCATCTCGGACTTCCCAGCCTCCAGAACCGTGGGCCAAATAAATCTCAGTTCATTATAAATTACCCAGAGTGCAGGATTCTGTGACAGCAGCACAGACGGATGGAGACAAGGCCCCACCTCCCTGTCACCACCACAGTAAGGGGCTCAGCGCACCAGTGGAGTCACAGCCCGCTCAGCTCTTTGGCCTCATGCCTCTGGCAGCAGTGATAGGCGCTGATGGGCAGAGGTGCCCCCTGCACAGGGATGGCGGCCCCCAAAGTTGCACAGACAGGAGGTCATGACTCCTGGCACTGAGCTTTTGCAGTTTTCAGAGGTGGACCCTAGCAGAGCAGCCCCAGGCTTCTCTCCCTGGGCCCACCCACCCCCCTGGAGAAGTTGGTAATGGTAGTAAAATGCATCCCAAACCACAGACTTTTTGTTTTGCTTTCTGTATCTATTTATTTGTTTTCCTTTTCTGTCCGCTTGGGTTTACCTGGGAACATCTTTAATGAGCCTTTCAGTAAGTGCTCCTGGTTAACACCAAGGTGCGGCAGGCCCGGCCCTTCTCAGTTATTCAGGGAAGGCCTCCAAGGCTGCGCTATAATTAGAAGTCAATTAAATTAGAAGCCATTAATACGGTTCTTGGAAGGCCTCCAGCCCTGCAGAGAGCCTCTGGCCCTATTCACAGACTCGGTGGAAATTCATCTCTGCTAACCCCGCCATCCTGAAGGCAAGGCCAGAGCGTTTGGGCCGAGGGGGCAGGCTCCCCGTGGGTTCCCTGTGGGGCCTTTGCTGGCACCTGGCCCTCCCCCGCTGGCAGGCTGCAGGTCAGGTCCCCCCACCCCAGCCGCCCCTCGCTGCCTGCCCTGGCTTGCTCGGTTGCTAGAAGGAAAACACCCAGTGAGTTCACCACTGGGTGGCTGGTTCTTTAATCTTGCCTCCGTTCAGTGTTTTCCAAATGTAAGTGCAGCACTGAAGTGCAAGGCAGTGTGCTAGAAAGTGCGAAAAGGCAGCTTTGGTGTCTCTTCAAGAGAGTCGGGAAACCTAACCCTTCCCAAAGGCCACCTGGTGGTACCCACCTAGCGAGAGACACCTGCAAGGTCATGGAGCCAGACAGCCGGGGCCAGGGAAAGAGCCAGCCCCAGCCCCAACCCCACGAGCCTTTGTCAGTGACCCTAGTCACCCCCTGGGACAACAAGGGAGAGGCGCTTTTTCCCAGAGTGAAATGTCTTTATGGCCTTGTTTCCTGATCACAAAGTTTGTGTGCAACTCTTCTAAACCATTAGTCAATGCAGAGCTGCATAAAATAAAAAGTTGAATATTCCTCATAACCCTCCCTCAGTCCATGGTCACCCCACGTAGTTTTATTCCTGCCAAAAAATCTCTGTTAGAAGCATAGTGGGTGTCACTCCAGACCCGTTTCCGTGCATAGAGAAATCTTTACAAACACAGCCACGGAGCACTGTCTGTACGATTTCTTTTTCACTCAACAACAGGTGGTAGAGACTTGAATGCTGTTCCAGGGACTGAAGTTCTGTAGGATTTTGTGTTGGCTTCTCGTTTGTTGCAATGGTAAAGAAGCGTGATATCCACAGGCCCCGCCTGGATCTTATCCACCCTCCTCTGACGGGGGCCAGGGCGTGTGCTGCTCCCCTCGTGGGGTGGCAGGATAGGTGTCCTCCCGGGGCCCTCAGGAAGAGTGTCAGATGCTGTCCCTCACCAGCCTCTGCGTGCTTATGCATTGAGTGCTTCTCCTAAATGTGCATTCTCTTTCCAAAAGTCTCCCCAAGGGAGGCCTTTTTTGAGGCCTGGGGGATTTGGAAAAGAAGATTATGCATGTTCGTCCACTCAAGGGGTTTGCCCCCCTGAGCAGCACCCTGCCCCACCAGCTGGTCCCCTGGTCACCCACCCACTCTCTGTTCCCAGCTCCTGACTTACTCAGCTGCCCCCGCATTCTGCAACCTAATTTCTTGATTTCCAATAAATAATCTTTCAGCTTCTTTTCTCCCTAATGCCTTCAGGATGTTGTTCCAAAAGAAAGGAAGGAAGGGAGGGAGCTGGGGAGAGGGAGAAAGGAGGGAAGAGAGAAAGAACATGCCCGTCCATCATGGCGTTTTTATCGGCATTGGTATGTGGGATTGGGAATTACTGGTTGTCACAACCAGGGTGCCTCACTAAGGACAAGGGGATTCTGAGGGTGAAAGTTCTTGGGGGGGGCGGTTCCCAAGGTCCAGCTGGACTTCTGGTCTCAGTCAGTGGTTGATTCTGGAAGGTTCCTTGTACAACTCAGCCCCTAGAAGAGTGCATACTGATGTGTCAAAGCCCAACAACAGTGACTAGAGTGCGGCAATAGGGGGACTTAGGTGTTCACGTGAGCACATCATTTCTCTTTGTAGAGCCAGGCTAGTTAATACCAGAATCCCAGGTAAAACTTGTTTGGGTTAGAAACACAGGTTTTCCATTCAGGGAGTGAAAAAGTCAAAAAATAACATCTCCTCCCTCAAAGCAGTACATTAATGTCATTGGTGAGAAACATCTGAATGCTTGGGCTGTGGCCATCCTCTGTCGATTAAGTAGCTGTGTGACCTGGGGCAAGTCACTTAACCTCTCTGGGCTCCAGTTGTCTCAACTGCAAAATTAGGCAGTTGGACTCCCACTATTAGCAGAGAGAGGGAAGAGCCTCACAGTGGGCTGGGAGAGCTGCTGGGGGCGGGTGGAGCAGACTGGTTCCGGCAGTCTCTCTGGGGGCCTCCTGTGCCCTGGAGCCCCAGGCCCAGGACCAGCTTAGAGCTCCGCTGCTGAAGGCTGGTGTGAGGCCAGGTTCCTGCAAACTGCGAAACATCAGTCACTGACCCCAGGGTTTAACGCCAGGCCCTCCGCATGTGCCAGTTCTTCCTCCTGGGACTCTTTCCTGGCCGTGGTTGTGATGCTGATGAAGAACCTGGAGTTGGCCCAAGGGGCGTGGGTACAGCCTCAGCTTAAAATCTGCCTTGTCTTAGGATGTATTTGTTTCCCACACTGTTTGCTGGGCAGCACCTTATACCCAATGGAGCACAACGTAGGTGGCTGGACCCCAGGTTGGGGGGGGGGGCGACTGCCAGTGCCCAGCTGGTGATGACGAGGTGTGTCTTTCAGGTGACCCCTCGGGAGAGAATGGCCCGTGTGGGGGACCGTAAGTGGACGCCCTGGCTCCCTGTCCTGGTGGTAAGTGGGTCTCAGCACCTCACCCACATGGGCCCTCACCCTGCTAGTGGTCCAACCGGTTCCTTAGCCTCTTCAGCCTCAGTTTTCACAGCTGTAAGATGGGAATAATGATCATAGTAGCTCCTTCATGGACTGCTTCAGAGGGTGAGAGGAGACCGTGCCTGCAAAGCACGGAACACGCCCCAGGCTCAAGTGGGATTTATTTAGTCGGGGGCTCCCTTTGTAGGGCCTGGTGGATAGAAACCTTCTGAGTGCTTAGATAAGTTGTGATATCCACAGCCCAGTCCTGTGTGAGGAGCCCTTGCTTGTGGGCCACGCAGCTGAGAAAGATTCAGAAGATCCAGCCCTCCTCTCTCCCTTCCAGGAGTTCAGAGGAGCCCCCTGTTTTAGAGGCTGGAAGAGGGGCCACCCTTCCCTGGTGGTTGCCTGGATGGAGAGAATCAGGAAGAGGCCTTGGGACTGGGACATGGCTTTGACAGCAAGAGGAGGAGGAGGTGGCTCTGGGTAGGGGGGGGCAGGAGATGGCCATGCCAGGTGGCTAACTAGGAGTCAGTGGGACTTAGCCCCAATGACACTGGATGGCACCTTCCCAGCCCTGAGCCCCCGGCAGAGCCCACCACCCCCGGGCTCTCCTTCCTTAGTCAGCCTTGGGCTCTCCGGGTGCCAACCCGAGTAAGCGCATGTGTTTCCAGGGAGGCTTGGAGGCCAAAATGACCCTCATTTTCGTGGCAGGTGTCTCTGATGTGCTCGGCCAGAGCGGAATACTCAAACTGTGGCGAGAATGAGTACTACAACCAGACCACGGGGCTGTGCCAGGAGTGTCCCCAGTGCGGGCCAGGGGAGGAGCCCTACATGGTAAGGACCCTACTTCCCGTCCAGCCAGGCCTCAGCCCGCCTGGGCCTGGCACGTGCTCAGGGGAGCCTTCCTGCCCACCCTGCGCTTGCACTGCTGCATGAGTGGTCGCCGGGGTAAACCAAGTCTCTGCGCACTGGACACGGAGAGTGAGTGGCGTGAGCTGGTGTGAGCCCAGGAACGGTGCTCGCCAGCTGACGCACATGGCTGAGCATTTGTAAACAGATTTTTCAGGAGTTCTTTTTCATTTATTTAGACGATTGCCTTCCTAGTCTACCTTGATGAAATGAGCGCAGGGTCCTCTGAATCGGGAGCATGATTGAAGTGTCCTCCAAGAGTAGCATGCCTGCTCCTGAGGGCCCCTCCTTTCTCCCCTGCAAAGGCCAGCCATGTTCTGCAGAGTGCTAAGGGAAACAGCCGGGGTTTCAGTACTTTGGGTTCTTGCAGAGAGCTGAGAAAAGCCAGATAGCAAGGCCTGTGTCTACTGACAGGGTGCTCCCGATGCTCGCTGAATTCGTTTCAGAGACCCTCAGAAGAGGGGTGGCATCAAGCCCAGTGGGGGGAGGCACGAGGCCAGAGTCAGGAAGCCAAGGCCTGGCAAGAGTAGCTTCTGGAAATAGCCAGTCTGTCACTGCCCAAGGACCACGGAGCGTAATTTTTGTGGTTTGGCCGCTGCACTCACCTGTGTCCTCTGTCCCTCTCCCTCCCGCCAGTCCTGCGGCTATGGCACCAAAGATGAGGACTATGGATGCGTCCCCTGCCCAGCAGAGAAGTTTTCCAAAGGAGGCTACCAGATATGCAGGCGCCACAAAGACTGTGAGGGCTTCTTCCGGGCCACCGTGCTGACACCAGGGGACATGGAGAACGACGCCGAGTGTGGGCCTTGTCTCCCTGGGTAAGCATGGGCACTGCCGGCAACCCCTGGGATGCTTGCTGCAGAGAGCCCTGAGGGGCAAGGACCCCAGGAACAGGGATGTGGGCACCACAGGCCTTGGCGTAGCATCAAGCCCACCCTTTGTCTCATCTTACGAGAGGCAGCAACCAGACAGGCAGCCCACCAAGCTCTGTGTCCATGCTGCTTAAGTGGACCTTAGTCACCGTAACACCTTCTGACTACCCAAAAGAAACAAACTGGTTGAATACTTACTGTGTGATAACACATGTCAAACATTTGGAGGAAAGAACACTAAAATTCCATACAAAAGCATTATTTTTAGTATTTTTAGTATTCTGGAAACACTGAGGGAAAAAGCTACTAATAGGAACATGTGAGTCATGTGATGCCTATAATTAAATTGGTTATGTATCAAAAGTCTTCAAAAAAACAATAAAGTGAAAATACAGTCAGCCTGAAAGACAGAAAGAAAAAATCTTCCTCTTTCCAAGCAGAACACACTGGCAATTTCTGCCTGGGGCCAGGAAAGTACAGCCTTGACTCCCAGTGAGTGCTAAGCCAGGACTGTGGCTGCTTCCTCCCTCTAGTGGACACAAAACACAGTGCTTGGCAAGGGCTGCGGACAGACAAAAAGCCCAGGTGGAGGATCCAGTGTTAGAGCTGGCAGAGGTGGTGAAGGTGAGGAGGGAAGTGATGGTGGTGGAGGTGATGGCAGTGATCAGCACTGGTGCAGCGGTGGAGGTGATGGCGGTGATGGCAGTGATGGTGCAGTGATGGCAGTGATGGTGCAGCGGTGGAGGTGATGGCAGTGATCAGCACTGGTGCAGCGGTGGAGGTGATGGTAGTGATGGCAGTGATGATGCAGTGGTGGAGGTGATGGCAGTGATGGCGGTGATGGTGCAGCAGTAGAGGTGATGGTAGTGATCAGCACTGGTGCAGGGGGAGGTGATGGCTGTGATCAGCACTGGTGCAGCGGTGGAGGTGATGGTAGTGATGGCAGTGATGGTGCAGTGGTGGAAGTAATGGCAGTGATCAGCACTGGTGTAGTGGTGGAGGTGATGGCGGTGATGGCAGTGATGGTGCAGCGGTGGAGGTGATGGCGGTGATGGCAGTGATGGTGCAGCGGTGGAGGTGATGGCAGTGATGGTGCAGCGGTGGAGGTGATGGCAGTGATGGCAGTGATGGTGCAGCGGTGGAGGTGATGGCAGTGATGGCAGTGATGGTGCAGCGGTGGAGGTGATGGCAGTGATGGCAGTGATGGTGCAGCGGTGGAGGTGATGGCGGTGATGGCAGTGATGGTGCAGCGGTGGAGGTGATGGCAGTGATCAGCACTGGTGCAGGGGTGGAGGTGACGGCGGTGGTCATAGTGGTAGTCATGTTCCGAACAGCACACTGCACTTCACAACGTGCTTGTGCACATGCTGTCTCCCTGGATCATTATATCAAATTAAGAGGAGGAAGAAAATAACTATATATCAGAAAGGTAACATTGAGCATTAGTGTGTTAGAAGAAGAAAGTCCCCCAAAAAGTCACAAATACTCACCAATTTAGAAATAGATTAAATGTGAATAACTCTTCAAAATGGGGAGATATTTTAAACTCACTGAAAATAACCTCAGTTCCAATTTGTTACTAAGAAACTTCCATTTCCGTGGTTTCCACCACCATCTCTGCTGATGACTGTCCCCATCCCCAGGCTCCCCGCTTCTCTGTCTCCAGCGCGGGCCCAGCTCCTAAGCTACAGACCACATGTCCAGATGTCCTCTGGACGAGCCCACATCAACATTTCTGACACCGGCTATGATTCAAACATGTTTCTCAAATGAACACGTAAAGCAGGAGAACCTAATTGTAGAACCTATGTTTTCAACATGGGAAAAAAGCAGATAGCTTTAACCAGAGAAGATAGTAGAAACACATTAGAAAACATGATCAAATAAAAGTTCCATAGCTGGGTAGTCTTTAATTCAGTTGTGCATTGCTGTGTTGCGGGGGCACCAAAAGGAGCATCAGCATCGGATGCAGCACCGGCCGCGCACTCCTGCCAACCGCACCAGCACCCACGGAGGGGCTGCTCTGTGGAGACACCGGGCTTGACTCAGAATGGAGAAGATCAGTGGGATCTTGACACTGGATGGCTAGAATCAGTCTCTGATGACTTACATGCTTCCTAGAACTTTACCTTGATTGATTGATTGATTTTATGGATTTTATTGGTGCAGATACATGACCCATGAAAGCAATGCAGAGCTTCCATGGATTAACTCTGGAAAAGTGTGCATACCTTGCCACACTCACTTGGGAGGAAAAGAACCTCTTTACAAAACCTATTTTAAGAGCCTCTGAGTGTGAATACTTGACTGGACATTTGCAACCTAATGTAATGGCTCCAGTAGTTATTTTGCTAAGCCTGTGCCAGGCGGGCACCATGAGATGAGGAGGACAGGTATGGTTTCTCTCTTTTTGGTGGAGCAGTGAGACGAGGAAATCAGTGGCCACAGCGCAGTGCAGTAAGGCACACACCACATTCTAGAAGTTGAGGAAGGCCTTCTCGCCTCATGGTTGGGGAGGTGAGGTCAACAGGGGTCTTAGGGGCCTCCGGAGGGGACGCTGGGATGGGTGGGAGGTGGCCAGGCTAAGAAGTAGGACAGAGCTCTCCAAGAGGAGATGCTGATGCCGGGGCCCACAGGGCTGAGCAGCCGGATGGCACCTGGAGCTACGGTTGGGTCTCTGTGGCTGGAGCAAACAGTGCATGTGTGGAGTGTGGACCAGCCAGAGAGGTGGGCAGGGGCCCATGGACAGGGCTCTGGGAACCACTGCTGAAGACTTGAGCCTTCAGCTTGCAGCCCACGTGGTGACTGTGCAGACCGCTGAGCCAGGTGGCATGTGATGGTCTGTGAATTAGAACAGTCCTCTTGGCCGCAGCAAGGAAAGCAGCTGAGTAGGGAAGAACCTGGAGCCTGGGGACCAGGGATGCGGGAGGTCTGGAGAGAGGTGTTGGAGACTGGAGGAGAGTCTGAGAGCACGTGGGCAGGTGGACTGGCCGGAGCTACAAGCCGGTGTACAGGGTGGGGACAGAGGCTCAGAAGGGGACTCTGAGGTGTGCACTGGCCGTGTGGACGTGGCGCCACTTGGTCAGACATGGAATACAGAAGGAAAGGGAGGTTTCAGGGGCAGAAGGAGGGTGGAGGCTGTACGTGTGGAACTTGAGGGGATTGTGGGACACCTATGCCAAGGTATCTAACGCAGAGATGGATAAAGAGGCTTGCAGCCGTGGGCGACAGCCAGGCCAAGGGCCAGCACTTGGAAGTCACCTACACACTCAGGGAACCCGGAGCCACTGGTCCAGAAGGGCTCAGTGAGGCAGCTCTGTGGAGCCAAGGGGAGGTGGGTGCACCACGGGGCCTCACTGAGCAGCACCGCTGACTCTGACCCGGCCACAGTTCAGACCCGAGAATGCACCCATCGGTGGTGCATGAAATTCAGCCCTGATTTTTTTCTGGATGATCTAAGAGGGGCAGCGAGTATGTGCATGGAGCAACCTGTTCCATGTTCACTTAGAGCCACGGAGCCTTTCCAGTCAGCAGGACAAGCTTGGGTCTGTGCGTTGAGCACCCTGTCCCATAGGCAGGGACAGCGTGGTCACAAGAAAGGCTGACTCTGTGGCAAGGAAGACAGTGTGCCTCGTCCTGATACATTTACCAGAAAATGTCTTATCACTAAAGAAGTTCAACACTGGAAGGGCGTGAGCTCTCTGCCTCTGGACGGATTCTGACAGCTGTGGACGGCCTCTGTAGGAGTGGTGGGGAGGCTGCCGTCTGTGCTTCTACAAGGTTCTTTCCGGCTCTGGAATCTCGAGTGGTCGCTCCTGCTCCGTGGGAACTGCAGTCTGCTCAGTCCACACCACCTTCAGCACCCAGGGTGCGGCGAGGCCCAGAGCCCCCCTGAGCGAGCGGGGGACCCTGTGCAGGGGACGCATCTCCACACGCATTGCAGAGCCTCATGTCGCTCCATGATGTGAAGGTGGTGTGGGCAGTTTCATTTTGGCTTTGTGATGTTCAAATCAATCACTCCTGGCCCGAGGCCACCAACATCGAAGGCCCCTGCCTCACCTCGGGCCCCAGGCCACCCCCACCCCTCAACACACACATAACTAAGGCTTTGCCAGGGTGGGTCCCTGCAGGCACCCCGCTTCCTGTTCCATGACAAGTTTGAAGAACAAAACGAGGCTCTCACACCAGGTGATGGGAGGGTTACAAGGAGTTTGGCAAGTTGGTGTTGTTAGCTGGATGAAAGGCCGGGTTCATTCCTGAATCCGTGTGGTTTTCAGGTGACGGGTGCAGACTCCTTGTTCCTGGCCACCTCGTCCTCTGTGCCCTGTGGTCTGGCAGGTGTTCCCTCCCGGTGCATGGCTGGGACACGCCCAGAGCAGTGAGCAGCATCCGGGGCCTTCCTGTGGGGAAAGACTGTGTGAGAGGCTAGAGGACAGGAACAGGAGGACAGGAAGAGAGAAGAGTTGGGTTCCCTACCCCAGCCTCCCAAGGCAGCCCCTCTGCTGCTTGGGGCCGGGTGGCTGGGGCAGGGGTGAAGGGAGACCGGGGCCAGTTCTGCTCGCCCGCGAGTCAGAGGGAAAGGGAGACTCTGAGGACTCAGCAATGCCCATTACAGGCTCAGGAGTCCCGAGAAAAGGAAATCTCTGGGAAAGTCCATGCTGCTTATTGACTTGAAGGACCGTCGACCCCTCAGTGGAAGATCCTCGGGGCCACAGACTCACTCTTGTCCTGGGCTACACAGCTCAGCCTGTAAAGAACGGGACAAGAAAAGACAGAACAAGGGGAAAATCAACATGTGGATCAAAGAGTAGGAAATTAGGCCTTTACAGAAAGATGAAGGGACCTGGCTCTATGGAGGGGCCGCAGATCCCCAAGTGCACACTCGGCTTCAGTTGGTGCAGGGCGTCGCATGGAAGACAGTATGTCCCCTGTTCCTGTCCAGCCCGGCGTGAGAGACGCAGGTGCGAGCCACGCCAAGAGGGGCTTGGGTTAGGCCTGAAGAGAAACTCCCTAACATTTAAAAATGTTCTGTGTGGCACTACATGCTAGGAAAGGGTGGCTTCTCCTTACTGGGAGACATGGAACTCTCACGCGGGTTCAGCAGGACAATTTCATAGCAGCCTCCTGGAGCCAGCATATTTTGAGATGTGCCTTTCAGCGTTGTTCCTTCGCTGAGTTACTTGGCACATGGCACAGCTTGGCCCACAGGCACAGTCAGGGCAGGAGCGTGAAGCTGCAGCCACCCAGGCCCCCAAGGAATTAGAGACCCTCACGATGCAAGTAGCAGCCTGCGGCAGAAGGAAAAGTCACAGACACAGCCCCCGGATAGAGCCACCACCTCCTCAGTGCTCAGAGTATGGTGGTCCCAGTGGGTGCCCATCCAAAAGCCCAGGCGCTCCACACCCACGATGTGGCTTTGGAGCATCATCTATGACAGAGCTGGGCCTGACACCCAGGGGTTATCTGGGGCAGGCAGGGATGCCTATCAGGGCCTCTGCCCATCTCAGCATCTCGAACTTCTGCAGAGAAGAACACAGTGTCATTCACTCGTGTCCAACCAGTGTCTGCCTAGAACCTTCCTTCCTCAGTACCTAGCAGGAACTACTGGGAATACAGATGTGACCCAGGCTTGCCCTCGAGGGCCTCCCAGTCCAGGGGCAGGGCTGATCACCACAGGCAGAGTGAGAATGCCGTGGAGGGAGGAGAAGGAGGAGGAGGCAGCAGCCTTCTAGCTTGAGATGTTCCCCAGATGTGGCAACGTTGGCCCTGGATATTGGAAAGCCACAGGTGAGGCCTGTCCTGGCCAACTGGCCCCTGTCACCTTGCAAGGCCATGTGGACACACGTACCCCCTGCTGGGGGAAGGACCGCCATCTGCCCACGTGGCTCCCTGCTCCAGCAGCAGAAAGATGGCTTCTGGAAGGGGCAGAGGTATGTTTGAGAGAGGCTTTTCCAGAAGGCTTAGCTGTAAAGCTGGCTGGGTGGCTTCTCTGAGGCTGCTTTGAGATGGGTTAATTGACGTTTACAAGATACACAGAGATCTGGGGATAAAAGGCTTTGAGGAAGGGCAGGCAATTATGATCCTGGTGTTACTGGTGGTGGTCCAAGCTTACGAAGGCTGGAGTCCAAAGACCCCCGCCCGGCCCTCCCGCCCCAGCAGCCACTTACCACTGCTGTCAGCTCGTGGGGCGCAGCTAATAAAAAAGAGATTAAAGAACAACCACGGAAAAATCCAGGAGCAGAGAGGGATTTCTCATCTCTTGAATTGTAATAGGGGAAGCATTGGCACCCGCTCCCTTTGTTTAATCAACTTCTCACAATGTGATAAATGGCTCCCTGCTCACCGCTGAATGTTTGTTTATGGAAAACGGTCACGCACCAAGGTGAGAGGCAAAGCCCACAGAGATGTGAGCCCGGAGGACGCGAGGCATTAGCTGGGTGTTCCCAGGAGGTGGGGCGCCTGCAGGGAATGCCACCACATGGCAGACCCCTGAGAGCGGGACCTGAGCCAGTTACATGGCCGTGGGGCTGGCGTGGTGAGCTCAGAAGACATAATGGAACATCAATGGGGGCTGAAGGACTTCAGTGTCACTGTGGATGGTTTGTCCCTTTAAGTGTGCACACCCCCAGTGTAAACACTTGCAGGTGTACAGGTGTCTTTGGTTCAAATGCGTCCCAAGGAGGAAACAGTTAGGACTTGGCTGTGTTGCAGGCTGTTGTGAAAGCCACCTGTGTGGACCTCTCTGGACACTGCAGCCACACTCTGGTGGCCAGCTCCATTCGGTGGCATTCAGCAACCATCCAGGTGGTCTGGGTGTCCCAGGGAGACTCAGAGACACTTTTGTCCTTAATCCCACCGGGCTACGGAACATCCCACTCACCGAGGGGATGCTTCTCCTCCAAAAGGGTCTGGCCTCTGGTTGGTGAGACCCCCGGAGAGCTAGATAGGGCCTCTGCGTGGTGGGCACACAGGTATTTTGTGGGTGATGTTGATGAGGCTACGATACACACACTGAACAAATCCTCTGGTGAAAGGAGCCAAGAGGGGGAAGAGAGTAAAAGAAAGGCCCAAACTGACCCAATATTGGAAAAAGAACGTTCCATTTTAAGACATGCTGAAAACCCCAAGGAAACGCAGTGGGCACAACGGGCTGTGGCTGGGCGGCTCCTGGTTCGTGGTGTCCACTTCCTGCCCGACTTTGGTCGTGGGCTTGTCGTGTGCCCCAGTCCTTGCCTGTGGAGCCACAAGCTCACCTGTCTCTGCTTTGTCCTGTCTCCCCCCGTAGCTACTACATGCTGGAGAACAGGCCCAGGAACATCTACGGCATGGTCTGCTACTCCTGCCTGCTGGCACCCCCCAACACCAAGGAATGTGAGTTCTCTGACCGTCCCTCGGGAGGGTGTTTGCTCAGCATTGCTATCTTTCACGACAGGGGAAGCAGAGTGGGCCAATCCTGGCATCCAGACAAGATTCACTGGGGTGAAGGGGTAGCGGAAATGCTCCCGTGGCCAGTCCAGTCAGCAGCAGGTCTGTACAGGGAGAGAGGTTTGCTGTAGCTGAGCTTTGGGTCAGAGGCTGAGGTGCTAGTGCAGGTCGGCCACCAGCTACCTGAGCAAGTCCCTTAACCTCCATGAGCCTGCTCTCTCATCCGTAATATAGGGGAACTAAAATCTGACCTGTCCCATCCCAGGCAGTATCACAGGTGCACAGTGACCTCCCAGCGAGGTCACAGATGTACAGGTACCTTGCAAGGTGCTGGACAATTGTAAGTTCCAAGGAAACTGCAAAGTGCTGGACAGTTGTGAGGCTGAGGGAAATGCAGAAGTGATCACAGTTCCTGAAAGAGATTCCACAAAGCACATGTAAATAGGATCTGAGTTTACAATCCCACCTTGGGCTGTTTCTTTCCGGTCCCCTTCATCTGACTTTCATGGGCCTCTATTTATGAGGAAGGGCCAGGTAACTCTGCTGCAGAGGGAGGCACGGTGTGGCCTCTTGGATTTGTGGTCTGGGGAAAGACTAATAAGGTAGGATGGCCTGCTGGAGGAAGCTGGGTGTCTGGTCCCTGGGCTGCAGGAACACCTGCGGCCCTCTCACTCCGGGTGCCTTCAGGGTAGAGGAGCTGCCCCTGGGACCCTGCCTCTCCTCACTTTCCGTAAGTCCCCACCCACCCCCATGTTCTCACGAGACTTGTCTGGGAGAACAGGGTAAGGGCCTGCATCTTAAAGCAGAGACGCAGGGAGGAGCAGCCCCTTCCAGCCTTCTGTGCCGTGGGCCTGGGCAGCGCCCTCCGGGGAGGGCCATTCCCTCCCTGGCAATTTGCTGAAGCAGAAGAGCCCTGCCACATGGTTTGCTGTCTTTAAAGCTGAGTTTTCTTTTCCATTCATATGCTAATTAATTCACAAGCGAGAGGAGGCCTGACGGTGGGGAAGTCAGCTGCCATCCCTAAGGTGCCTTCTGCAGCAGTCAATGCCGGATGCTCTGGGACGAAGGCCTAGTCTGGGAACATGTCAGATGCCTCACTTTTTTAGAAAAGTCTCTATGCCTGCGCAGCCTTGGAAAGGAGCAACCCTCCCCAGGGGCCCTTCTGTTTGAAAGCTCCCACACAGGCACAGGGGCTGCCCTCAGCGCCTGGCAGGATGGCCTCAGGTCAGGCAGGGTGCCTCTCAGTCCAGCAATGTCCGTCCCCTGAGTCCTGGAGATTTTACAAATGGGTGTATCCCACTCCCCACCCAGCCCTTAACTGCTTCTGGGAAAACCAGCTCTCACTGAGGCCTCAGGGTGGCAGCAGAGCCTCCCCTGGGCAAGTCCCCAGGCCTTTGTTTGCTCATCTGGGAAATGGGGAGATGCCACAAGCTCAGTCTTGTGGTGTGACAGGGAAGTGGAGCCCTGCCTGGGCCAGGGGCCTCAGTATGACCGTGAAAAAGAGAGTGACATTCCACCTCCTGGGCCACACTTCCCCTGTGCTGGTTTCAATCCAGAGATTTTTTTTTTTTTTTAATTTAGAGACAGGATCTCACTGTGTTGCCCAGGTTGGCCCCAAACTCTTGGCTCAAGGAAGCCTCCCACTTTGGCCTCCCAAGTAACTGGGACTACAGGTGTGCGCCACCATGCCTGGCTTCAATCCAAAGATGGTTTTATCTGAGACACTGGCTCTGGAGTCGGCAGAAATGTCAGAGCTAGAAAGGCTGGCTGTGACCACAGCCCCTGTGAAGTCACAGAGACCCAAACTCACAGGACTGCCATCAGCAGCCCCAGCCCAGGAAAGCCAGGGACTTGGGGAAACCTCATCTCTCCAGGACCCCAAAGGCACTGGCTGGCTGCCCAGGTCCAGCAGGTGACTGAGAGCACCTTTCCTCACACCTTCCTTGTCTGCTCTGCCTGGCCCTTGCTGAGCGAAGTTAACGCCCTTGGTACTCTGCATCGGTGAGTGGTGGACTCTGCAGACCACTGTCACGAAGACGTGCCGAGGGCCCCTGGCCACGGGTGCCGCAGATGCCTCAGATGGAGCGGATGCGTATGGAGGAGAGGCCTGAGTTAGTGCCGGGCCACCTCAGCAGAGGATGGGGCCAGGGAGCCAGAGCTCTCCACCACACGCCCAGGCATCTGTGCCGCAGGATCGCTTTTCTACCCTTAAAGAAATGGCGGCTTCTCTGCATGGCGGTGGGAAGCCGAGTGTTGCAGGGCGGTGATTGTCCTGTAACTGCCTAGAAGGGTTTGTTAGGTCGCACTGCTGGGCCCTCCCCAAACGGCATTTTAACAAGTACGAGAACTGCTGGGGTAGGTTATGGGCCCTGGCCCTGGACCATCACCGGCTGAGTTAGGCGAGTTATCTCATCTGCCCGATGGAGCTCCCAGCGGTGCCCACTTGCCCGGCTGTGGTGTGGCCCGGGTGAGTTTTCGCCACCAAGCCGCCTGAAAGTACATCGCAAGTGCCCGTGGTGTTGGCCTTTGTGACGCAGCCCCTCCAACATCCTTGAGAAATGAAAAAGCATCGCATAATTACTCGTAAGATGGAATGTAATCTTCACAGTTTTGGGGCTTGCCAAGTAGCAAGAAGGAAAAGGACAGCCATTGGGTCACAGATCAGTCCTGCCTTGGGTTGGTTGTCTCCTTGGATTAAAATCTCTGTCTGGGAGAAGCCAGCTTCGAGCCTGCACTCAGTGACAGCGCAGTCCCCGGCGCCCTGGAGCCCGGCGAAGTGAGTTGGAAGGTCCTTTGGTTATTTTTCAGTCAAATTAAAGAGCAAGAGGCACTTGGGGAGACCAGAACTTTCTGGCCTTCTTCTTCCCTGCACGGTCCCACGTGCAGGGATCTGTGTCGTCATGACAGTGGGGGTTTGACGGGGTGACCTGGCATACCAGACGGGAGGAAAGGATTCAGCGTCAGACTTGGGTTTCATTACAAGTTTCCACTCCTGGGAAAGTCACTTAACTTCTTTGTATCTCAGTTTCCTCATGTGCCAAATGGGGACATCTGTCTCACAAGATTGTCATAAGGATAGGTATGACAGCGGGCGATGTGCATGGCCTGCCCCCTCCAGCACTGGTCACTGACCCCGGGCGGAGCACACAGGTGCCGCTGCACCTGAGCTGGCCTGGGCATCCCTCGCTGGCCTGGGACACAGGCGAGTAGGACTCCTCCCTAATGGGCGGGTGGAGGGGCCAATGAAGTGACACGAGAAAGGCACTGAGTTGGCCCAGAGCCCCACACCTGGCATTTGTTCCATTGTCCTTGGGTTTTTTATTGTCAGTGGCTGAGACCCCTGAGTCAGATCCGGAGTGGACGGGCCTTTTGGAGAAGCCCACTCTTGCTCTCGGTGCTCCAGCGGTTTCCATCTCGTAGGCACACAGTGCTCTGATGTGACGCTGAACAGTGAGCGCTACCATTCACGCGTGAAGGCCTGGCCTCCCCAGACGCCAGTGGCTAGCTGCCCTGACGCAGCGCGTCTCAGACTCCAGCAGGCACACGTCACAGGGACCAGTCCGGAAACAGACTCTGGCACAGCCGGTCTGGCGGCCGAGATGCTGCATGTCCTGCCAGCTCCCAGGGCCCCTGCCTTGAGCAGCTGTGGTTCCACTAGAGATGCTGGGCAGTGTCACGGCCGTGGGGCACCCTCGCTGACAGCTCTGAAGAATCAATAAGCAAATCATTTTTAAAAATCCAAACTCTTTGCCCTCTGTAGAGAATCCCAGCCCGTCTTTGCTACATACGGCGCATTTATAGATTGTGTGGGTTAACAGACTGCAGGGCCCCATTGTGTCTCTTGTGGCTTAGACTCGAGGTGTAGTTAAGCCGTGCGCATGCAGCACCAAGCCCGCCTGAGGAAGGTGAGCGTGGACGCTGCAGGACCACTCCCCGTCTGCTCCACCTGCTGCCTCGACCTCGGCCTAAGCCAAGCAGACGCGCTCAGGGATGTCTGCACACCAGAGAGCACCCGACCGCCCCTCAGCACAGCTGGGGCTGCTCGGTTGGTGACAACGGGAGCTCAGTTTGGGGGGAAACATCCAGTGGTCAGTGTGCAGGCTCAGCTGGCTGAGGGCAGGTGGGGGTGCAGTAAGATGTCACTGTTGTGCTTCCTGTGTGGATTGTCTGGGGACATCATTGTTTAACCAGCCCTGCGGGGCTGCAGAGGCGTCTCACAAGTCTGCGTGCATGCTAGGCTGCCTTCGCTGTCCCTCTCTAGACCACAGGCTGGGTGTATTTGTGTGTGTCCCCAACCCTGTCACCTGCCTGAGCCTACAAGCCCCAGCAGGAAGGGACAAGAAGAGACAAAGATGACAGACCTCCATAGATACAGTCACGGCTGTTCTTTTTCTCTGACAGCGTATCTTAAGCTCCCTTGAGGGCCTTAACCAACAGAGAGATCAGCTGCTTCTCCACATCCTACTGCTTTTAAAAAGGAAGCGAGGCCATGCTTGAATCTATGCCCCGTGCCCGTGTTTCACTCACCTGAGGATGTGTGATAGGCTGCTGCCCAGCGAGTGCAAACTGGCACAGAAGCCACCTAAATCGTGCCGGGGGCTGCCAAAGGGCATTCAGGAAGGCCCCTCAGCCAGGCACCCACCCCTCCAGTTCCTTCCCCAATAGGACTTCGGATCTGAGACTAGGAGAGAAGGCTAAATAAAAAAAAGCAAAGATCGATCCTAAGTTTGGGACACAGGAAGGAGAAAAGCTCTCGTTTACTATCCAGAAACACAAGGAAACATCAGTAGGCCGGTGACATTTCTCATGCACCAGCGACAGTGCCATTTCCTCCCAGCCCTGGGCAGCGGGCGCTCCCAGCAGCCGAGGACCACACCAGGAGCCCGTGGCTGCCTCTGCTCCCTCCCAAGGCCCCAGCCTGTGTTGTATGTGGAGTTGCTTCTTCGTTTTACAAGGTGTGAGGACTGAGAAGTGTGCGCGCTCTCCACTTAGGGGACACAGGGTGGATAATTCAGTGACCAGTGGGCTGCCCCAGCCAGTAAGTGGTGGCTTTAGAAACACCACGCACAGCAGGGGAGTGCGTTTCCCCCAGAAGCTTCTCTTAAAGAAAATGACCCTGCTAGGGAAGCTGCAGGGCAGGCCGTAGGGGCGTGGATGTCAGGGCAGCGGCTGGTCTTGTCCTTGACTCAGGGCTGCCTTTTGCAGTGCAAATCCACTTCACGAGTTTCTCCAGACCTGGTGAGACAAAGATGTGAGAGAAGGAAATTCATCTGAGACATGATTGTTTTTATTAATTGCAAAACACAAGTCCGGCTTAAAAGAAGGTTGACCGTCAGGACCTTGTCTTTTCTGGGGCAAACTTTTTTGTTTGTTTTAGCCACGCAGTCATTGTTTAGTGTTTTGATTGATAGCAAAATTAGCTTCCATTTTATCCCTGCTGAGTGACACTCTCTCCATAGAAGGGGTATTTATGAATCGTAGCTTTGAGAGAAGGCGAAGAGAATCCCTGCTCTTAAACAGCTTGGTCACAAGTATTTTAAAAATATATCTTAGGAAGTACCCTAAGGTGTGGGAAACATGCCACGAGTCGACTCAAATGTGAGGCCATGGGTGGTTCTGTTCCCCTTTTTCATGTTCTTATTTTTCCCAAATTTTTAACACTGAACATATATTACTTTTATGACTAGAAAAAGTATTAAGAACACATTCCTGCTCTACTTAGTTGAAGGAATTAGTCAACTGTCACCCCAATAATAATTTCATACACATACTATTTTCCTCATTTTGGGGGGTTTTTTTGAGGCAGGGTCTCACTCTGTTGCCCAGGCTGGAGTGCAGTGGAGTCACAATAGCTTGCTGCAGCCTCCAACTCCCCACCCCAAAGATCCTCCCACCCGCCCTCCCCAAGTGCCAGGATTACGGGTGAGCACACCGCACAGCCCGGCTTCCTTGTTTTCAGAGACTGCATATGCTCTGCTCAGCTCAGGGGAAAACGGAGCCCGTGGGACTTGCAACCTGCCCCTCCCTGCCGTCTAATGTCTTTTTATTTAAACAACAGTAACCAAGAGAGGTTAGAATCTTTAGCGATCATTAAACACACTAAGAAATAAAAATATTCTGGCCGGGCGCGGTGGCTCACGCCTGTAATCCTAGCTCTCTGGGAGGCCGAGGCGGGCGGATTGTTTGAGCTCAGGAGTTCGAAACCAGGCAAGAGCGAGACCCCGTCTCTACTAAAAATAGAAAATAAATTAATCGGCCAACTAAAAATATATAGAAAAAATTAGCCGGGCATGGTGGTGCATGCCTGCAGTCCCAGCTACTCGGGAGGCTGAGGCAGTAGGATCGCTTGAGCCCAGGAGTGTGAGGTTGCTGTGAGCTAGGCTGACGCCATGGCACTCACTCTAGCCCAGGCAAAAGAGTGAGACTCTGTCTCAAAAAAAAAAAAAAAAGAAATAAAAATATTTAGCTTTCCCCTGCCTACCTCCCTCCAGCCCATTCGTGATCGCGAATTCCAGATCAATTAGCCCTTCTGCCATATCTTTCCGTCTTCGAAGGCGGCACTTCTCTGGATCATCTGAGGTGACTTTGTTCCCCCTGCAGGTGTGGGAGCCACTTCGGGAGTCTCTGCCAGCTTCCCTAGCACGTCCAGCAGTAGCACGCTGTCCCCCTTCCAGCACACCCATAAAGGTATGACAGGCGCTTGGGTGCTGATCACCTGGAGTTAGGGGCACGAGTGAAAACTAAGAGGAAGAGAGGAAATAATTATTAGCAAGGATTGCAGCGTTCTTCCCACCTGAAATCACCTATCACCTCCCTTACGTGATGAGTCACATGGTACTCCAGTTGCAGGAAGTAATAATGATCTCTGCAAGGAGTGGAACAGATCACTCCGTGGGTGTCCCGGGCCCACTGGCAGGTGCCGGTGATGAAGGCATGTTGGGGGGCTGCCAGGCTGGGGGACCAGCACTTCCTGGGCTTTGGTTTGGAGTCAACAGCAGTCCCGGTGCTGGCTGTCAGGTACACCTGCTGCCCTTAGCACTGCAGTATCCATTTTCAGTAACGACGTTTCGTTCTCCCTAACCCCCTAGGGATGCAAACGACTGAGAAGGAACCCCAAAGTCTAATCTTTCTCTCAGAGCCAGTCCTTTCCTTCTCGTGAGGGAGTAATTTCTTCCCGTTACTTACGCATATCTAGGCCCAGGTCTCAGTGAGGCTGGGGGCACCTTCCAGAGCCCCCCGACAGGCTCATGCAGCCATAGGCAGGAATGCTCTGCTGGGATATATGAACCTGATTTCCACCAGGCCCCAGGGGAGTAGCACACAACACGGAGAACAGTAAAACACTCTGTCACCCAGACCTGGCATCCAAATGATGTTTCAGGTATGCCCCCAGATGATGCTGGGGGTAGGGGGGAGTTTTCCTGTAGAAATACCTGCCCACACAGGGGTTCTCAGCTCCCCCAGATGATGTGGGAGCCTCAGAAGCCTGTCACCCACATGTGTAGGTGGTGGGGAACCTGGGTGCTGCTTCATGAGAACCAGGGTCCAGTTTGGTTATTTTAGAGAATTAGAACAAGCTTCAGGGTGTTTTACATGCCTGAGGCTGACATTAATCAGGGAAGTGAGCAGAGTCCCCTGGGGTAAGTGAGGGTCTTCCTGGTGGGGTGGCAGAGCTGAGGGAGCAGGTGACCCAGCTCAGGCACCACTGTGCCCTGGGCTCTTACCATCACACTTAGGTTGGAATTGCATGAGGTGAGACAGAGCCAAAGCAGGAACTCGGTCTCTAGCTGTGGAGCTGACTCTTGCTTGGAAATGCCCAGACTTGGACGGCACTGCTCCAGGACACTCTCGTTCATGGTTCTCTTCCTGTCCACACCAAACCTTGCCCTCAGGTTCCCAAAGAAGGAGAACCAAGAGCAACCAGGAAAACGTGGACCATGGCATTCCCAGGGAAGTCTGGAGAAGCCACCCTGAGAATGGCGAGGGGGCGAGTGGGCCTCCTGAGCTGGCAGCCAGGGTGAGCGTGGTGGCAGCTTCTCACATTAGGCAGCATTCTTCACTCCAAGGTCCCCCAGAACCATCCCAGCAGCAGGGCCATCGCTTCCAGGGCCATGGGCCTGAGCCCTTGGTCACTCATGCTCTCTCCCCCCTGATGCCAGCAGACCTCTCAAGCCAAGGACACCTGGCCACCGCCCTGATCATTGCGATGTCCACCATCTTCATCATGGCCATCGCCATTGTCCTCATCATCATGTTCTACATCATGAAGACGAAGCCTTCTGCCCCAGGTGATGGCCTGCACCCCACACCCCGCCCTCTCGGGCCCTCCAGCAGCTCACCTTGTTGGAGAGCCTGCTGCTTACCTAACCCTTCTCTCCCCAACCAGCCTGCTGTGCCAGCCACCCGGTGAAGAGTGTGGAGGCCCCAGTAAGCAAGGATGAGGAGAAGAAAGAGGCCCCAGGTCTGCAGACCCAGCCTCTGCACCACCCCACAAGCACGGTGTCCATGGCCTCCTCACTGCCTCTGCTCTCCCACCGCTCAGAAGGGCCGGGGCACCCATGCTGTGCTTACTCTGGGCAGTGCCGGGTGGTCACCAGGCAGTTCTGCCCAAGCAGGGAGGGGCCAGCTCGGAGCAGTTCTAAGCTCTTCCTCCCCAACCTTCCATCTCCCTGCAGACACTGTGGTGATCTTCTCTGAGAAGGATGAATTTGAGAAGCTGACTGCAGCTCCAGCAAAGCCCGCCAAGAGGTACGTGGAGCAGCCCCAGCTCCTCATGGAGTCCTGGGCTGGAAGGGGAGCCGGGCGTGCAGCCAAGTCACTGAGAGGCTGCGCCTGGCCTGGGGCTGGCCAGGGACACTGGGGGCCGCTCAGAGACAGAGGCAATCCTGGTCGGCCTTGTCAGTGACCAGCAGGGACAGGTGATGTGAGAGGCAGGTGGTGACGGCTCCCCTCCATGTCAGGTGCTCCTCCCTGGGTCCTTCCAGGCACCCTGGGCCTTTCTCTCTAACACGGCCCTCTGCGTGCCCCTTCTCCAGAGCACGGGGGCCCAGGCAGTGCTGGGATCACTGCGACACTGGTGATCCTGGTGCGGATGACAGCCAACAAACATTCATGCTTGCTTGGTCTGTAAATGTGTTTTCCCCTCACAGCCCTAGGATCAAGGCGCTAACATCATCCCCATCTGTAGGTTTGGAAGTTGTCACTCGCCACAGGTCACACACTAGTGAGCAGCAGGGCTCGGTCCAAGTCTAGGCTTCTGACAAGCCACGTGGTGGAATGAGGCCTTTTGAGGAAGAGATCTGACGTATGAAACTTCTACCACGTTTACCACACCTCAGGGTGCGGAACCAGCCCCTGCTTTTACCAGCTCGCGGGGAGGGAAGCAAACATTTTATTCACCCCACTAGGTGGTCACTGGGCTTGGTCCCGCTGAGCTTTCACAGGTCAACTCCAAAGTGTCAGCTCCCAGCAAGGCAGCACACCGTCCCCTGCCAGGCCTCCGCCCCTGTGGGCTGGCGCTGGAAGGACCCCATTCACCTGGTTGCCTCCCTTTGCGGATGGGGCACAGAGGCCACAAGAGGGTCACCAAACCAGTTACAGGCAGAGCAGAGGCAAACCCTCCTCCCCGACACCCACCCCATGATCTTCCCATGATGTGTGAACTCTTGGAAGCCTTTCCTGCTTGGGAATGGTGAGCAGTCCACGTCCGTGTGGAGCTGTGGCCTTTGTAAAGCACGGCTGTGCAAGTTGTCTCATTTGGAGAACTCCAGTGTGTCTCATTGCTCCTGACGCAAGGCCAGGAATCAAACTTAGATCATGAGATCTTTGTATGCTAGGAAAGAAGAGTGGACTGTGTGTGTAAAACTAGTCAGTCCTTGGAGAGCGGTTATTTCCTGTAAGTGCCTCAATTCCAATTGACCATTTTCCACGTCCCTACCCCCGCCCAGGGATTGGTGGCCTCTGCCCCACTGTGCACACCAGCGAGAGGCGCCAGGTCCAAGCCACTGCTCCCACAACCAAAGCCAGGCTCTGGTCATGCCGTGTGGCTCTGGCTCTTAAACACAGCCTCACTGGGGACTGAGTTTGCTCCTCAGCCTCCAGTCTAGCACGGGTGGTTCCATTTTGTCTCAGCCTCTCCCATTCTGTTCCTCTGGCCTTTCTTATTCCCAAAAGTTGGAAAAAGGGGTAGTCAAAAGGGCAGAGATGAGCCTCATGACTTGAATTTCGCCTGAAGACGGGGAAAATGAGGGGACCCTACTTGGAAAAATTACATATTTATTTCATACACAAATATTAAATAAAAATTAAAACCCGACAATTGTGCTTTAAAAGATGAGGCACTGATCTTTTGTCCCTGCTGTCCATTCTCGGGTCTTGGAGACAAGGCTCAGGGGCCACATGGTCATCTGTGGGGATAGCTTTTCTACTTCACCTGCTGTCAGGTTGGGACAGGGATGGCCCAGTAGACTTCTTCATGAGGCCCCAGAGCCTAATGAGACGTGGGTTTTGCCCATCTCATTTTATTTCCTTTGTATTATCCTGTCTCTAGGACTGTTTGCATATGGGCTTCATTGCTGTAACCTAGTTAATAGCAAATATAATCCTTTTATTTAAAAAAAAAAAAAGTCTTCAGCCAAACCACAGGAAACAAGCAGGATGCCTATAAAAAAGAATGTTGTTTTTCATAGATTTGGAATGGTGTTGAGAGGTTAAGCTCCAAGCCACATGTATCTAGGGCCAGCCCGGGTCCTGTGTGGACCTGGGCAGTGAGAGGTGGGGTGGCGTGAGCCTAGGCTCATCGTGTGTGGGCACTCATCGTGCCCACCCGCCGGGGCTTGCTGTCCCCTCCTATGGTGCACGCATTTCAGCCAGCTCACCCTACAAGTCACGAGGGGGCTTCCCAGGCACAAGGCTTCGTTTTCAGTTACTCTAGAGAGCCGGCCTAGATCCGGAGCTGGCCACATAAGCTTGTTTGCTGAACGTGAAGACACAAGGTTGAACTTAGTGCTCGCTGGGACTAAGTGTAGGGATCTAGAACATACTCAGTGAACCTCTACTGAGCTTCAGTGTGTGACAGACGGTGGGTGCACAGATGAGCAGGTGCTGTCCCCACCCTCAGGGGCAGCCCTGGCTCCTGGAGTTCCACTGCACCTTTGTGAAGCCCTTGCACAGCCACCTTCAGGTCAGGCTGCAGGTGTTGACTTGTTTGGAAAGGAGCAGGGGTCAGGGATGTGTCTGTCTCATCTCGCATCCCCTTGCGCAGTGCCCCTGAGGTTCTCGGCAAACCTTGAGGAACAAGTCATTGCACCCGACTGTCCACACTTGGGTGACGCGAGTCACCACTGGGAGACCTTGTCAGGGCTGCAGCCCCCCAGGCACATTAACCACCGTCCCTCCTGTTTCCGCAGTGAGAACGACGCCTCGTCCGAGAACGAGCAGCTGCTGAGCCGCAGCGTGGACAGTGACGAGGAGCCGGCCCCCGACAAGCAGGGCTCCCCAGAGCTGTGCCTGCTGTCGCTGGTCCACCTGGCGAGGGAGAAGTCCGCCGCCAGCAACAAGTCAGCCGGGGTGAGGTTCCTGCAGAGCTCGCCATGCTGTGTGGTGGGAGGTTGTCTCACCAGAACGTTCTTGTTAAATGGGCTCTCCTGCGAGGCGGGGCGTTTCTCCAAAAGTCCATTATAGGAGCCCCGGACAGAGCGAAGGCTCACAGCAAGATCATAAAAAGAGAAAACTCTTCTTGCTTTTATTACATCACTTGATAAATGAAAGTGAAAATTAATAAGTAAAGAGAAAAAAGTTAAAATCACTTGGAATGCCAGCAGACAGAAAAAAACCTTTGTAAACATACTAGCATATATCCAACCAGATAATTTTCTACACGTGTAATATACATATATTTTTTTTCCTGTATACATAATATAAAAACAGGCTCACATGTACAAATTGTCCCCAGGGTTTTATCACCCGCAGTAGGCCCTGGATGTGCTGTGGCCGGAGGTGTGGGCAGAGCCCGCCCCGGCCCCTGCGGACTGAGCCTGCGGTCCTCTCTCTGGTCGGTACCTCTAGCCACAGATCGCAGCGCAGGCAGCGGCAGTGCTAGGCAGCATCGCTGGAAGTAAAAGTGCCCAAGTGGGATCCTGGCCGTGGCATGGTCTGACAGGACGCCACACTCCGGGCTTCCCTGAGCCCAGTGACCTCCGTCATGGGGCTGCCACTCGCAAGGACGCTGGAGGCCTGCGGGACTGTTGTGAGAGCGACAGGCAGCCGTGGCCGAGGGACGCGAGCCCTACGTGCTGTGGGCCTCGTCTCCCTGCGCCAGGCCGTGTGCTCTGGGGGAGAGTCCCCTGGGCCGGTGGGGTTCCCCGCTGTCACCTTCCAAACTGATGTCAGCGGTGGCCTTGGGTGTCTTGTGAGTCTGACTGCCCAGTTGAGCCCAACAAGCACCCTTGGTGTGCCCCAAACATGTCTGAGTGGGAAAACCCAAAGAAAACCCTTTCTCCCGGTGAATTAGGGCGACGCCCGGGCGGCAGGGCGCGGCGTGCGTCCGCCAGCGCTGCGGCGGAGGGCTGCTTCTTCGCTGCCGTTTCCCCCTTTATGAAGAGGAACATTCTCTTAACTCTTTTTTATAGATTCAGAGCCGAAGGAAGAAGATACTGGACGTGTATGCCAACGTGTGCGGAGTCGTGGAAGGTAAGCGCGAAACAGCCGCTGGGGACCCGCACCCGAGGTGGCCCCCGCCAACCGCCCCGATGTCCGTCCGCAGCGGGAAGGGGACGTGAGCCCTGGCGCTCCTGGGCGGGCACTAAACAGAGCTGCCCACCGGGCTGTGAAGTGTGGGGGAGACGGGATTTGGCTCCCAGCTATTGCAAGGCATCTCCCTCGTTTCCCAGGCACCCAACTGCTGGGACAGGGAGCAGAGCCATGAACCTCGCACCCCAGGGTCCCCAGCGCCCTCAGGCTACTCTGCGCATTGGAGTCATCATCTGGGAACATGACTATTTATCCCATGCTTAGCCTCCCCTCCCCTTCCCTCGGCGGCTCACAATGTCCAGTGGCCTTGGGAGCCTCTCTCTCCCTTCCAAAGTCAGACTGTCTCAGGGCAACCTCAGTCCGGGTGTGGGCAGGGAAGGGGCAGCAGGACTAGGAACATCAACACTGCGGTCTGAAATCGTAATCCTCAGCTGCCAATCCCTGCAAAATCCAGTCTCTAAATTACCTTCTTAGTCACCCCAAAGATAAACCCCCTCATGGCACAGGTGTGGGGGTTTTCCCCGCTTCCTGTCTGGCTGGCGTCCGCCCCTCTCCGCAGACGCCTGGTCATCCCCACGCCCCCAACAGCAGCCCGCTGCGCCCGGGCAGGCCTGCTGGTCAGGTGCTGCGTTGGCCAGACGTAACTCTACTGCAGTGAGTCCCCGGGCCAAGAATTCTTGGCTGCCTGCCTAAAGGTGGCATCTCTCCATAAAAACATGCCCAGGTCAGCCAGCCCCATCAAGCCTGGCACGGCCAGGACTGTCAGCTGTCCAATGCAGGATGGTCGGGGACTTGCATTCCATCTCTCAGAAAGCTCTTCCCTGCTCCAAAGTGTATTAAGAATCTGTACCCCTGGGACAGTGGTTTTCCTCTCAGTTTTTAGAACCTCACACACAAGAAGAGCCCCTCCAGTGAGCTTGGGAGGGTGCAGAGCTTGCAGCCCTGTGTCCTCAGCCACCCTGGCAGCCCAGGCACACGTGTCTCCCAATCCCACAGTGATGTGGACACAGCCACGGCTGAGAACCTCAGCCCAGCAGTGCCAGCCTTGATGAACCTCAGAGTCACCTGCAGGTCTTAGCACTCTCTCCGCCTACCCAACCTCCACCCCAACGCCCTGATGTAATTAGTCGGGGGCGAGTCCCAGGCATCAATGTCTTTTTGTTTTTTTGTTTTTAATTGAACTTTTTATTTTGAGATGATCCTTACCATGCAGTGGTAAGAGATAATACAGAGAGATCTTGTGTGCCCTTTACTTAGTTTCTCCTAATGATAACACCTTGCAAAACTATATACAAAAGTCACAACATTGATATTGATATCGATACCATGAAGCTAGAGACAAGTCTCATCACCACAAGGGCTCCTCCTGTTGCCACTGTATGGCTACACTCAATTCCCACACACCCCATGGCCCAGGCTCCCGGAGGCCAGTAATCTGTTCTCAATTTCTATAATTTTGTCATTTCAAAGACGATATAAAAGTGGAATTGTATAGTATGTAATCAGGTTGTTTTGTATATCAATAGTTCCTTTCTATTGCTGAGTAGCATTCTGTGGTATGGATGGACCAGAGTCCATTTAACCATTTGCTCATTGAAGGACATCTAGGTTGTTTCCAGTTAGGAGCTATTAGGAATAAAGGTACTATAAACATTTGTGTACAGGTTTATCTGTGAACATAAGTCATGATTTTTCTGGGATAAAGGCCCAGGAATGTGTTTGTTGGGTAATATGCTAGTTGCATGGTTAGTGTTTTTAATAACTGCCAAACTGTTTTCCAAAGTAGCTATACCATTTTACATTCCCCCTAGCAATGTATGAATGATCCAGTTTCTCCATATCCTTGCCAGCATTTGGTGTTGTTGCCATTTTGTATTTTAGCCATTCTGAGAGGCGTGTTGTGATATCTCATTGTGGTTTTAATTTGCGAGTTCCTAATGTTTGAAAATCTTTTCTTGTGTTTGTCATCTGTATGTCCTCTTTAGTAAAATGTTTCTTCATGTCTTTTGCCCATTTTCCAATTAGATTGTGTGATTTTTTTGCTGTTGAGTTTTGAGAGTTCATTATATACTCTAGATGCTAGTTCTTTGATGGATATGTGATTTGCAAGTATTATCTCCCTTTTGTAGCTTGCTTAGCTTGTCTTTTCACTCTTAACAGACTCTGTCACAAAGCAAAATTTTTAATTTTTATGAGTCAAATTTATCAAACTTATTATAAAGTTTTCCTTTTATGGATTGTGCTTTTGGTGTGAAGTCTAAGATCTCATTTGCCTGGCCCTAGATCCCAAAGATTTTCTTCCACGATTTTGTCTAAAAGTCTTACAGTTTTATGTTTTACATTTAAGTCCATGATCAGTTTGAATTAAGTTTTATATAAGACTTAGGTCAAGGATCATTTTGTTGCCTGTGCATGTCTGATTGCTCCAGCACCATTTGTTGAAAATGTTATCTTTCTTCCATTGAATTGCTTTTGCACCTTTGTCAAAAATCAGTTTGGCATATTTGTGTAGGTCTATTTTCTGGGGTCTCTGCCCTGTTGCATTGATCTATGTGTCTGTCCCTTCGATAGTACCACACAATCTTGGTTCATGTATAATATAATAAGTTATATAATAACTTATATAAGTCCCATTTTATTCTTTATTTTTCCCCTAAAAATCTTGTAGATACCCTATTTCCTTTGCCTTTCCATATAAGTGTTAGAATAATTTTCCCCATATATATATAAAATACCTTGCTGGGATATTGATAGGAGTTGCATCAAACCTGTATATCAATTTGGGGAAATTTGACATGTTTATTATGTTGAGTCTTCTAATCCGTGAACATGGTATATCTCTTCATTTATTTAGATCATCTTTGATTTCTTTCATCAGCATTGTGTAGTTGTCAGAATACAAGTTCTATACATATTTTGCTACATTTACACATTAAGTACATCATTTATTTTTTGAGAAATTATAAATGACATTTTATTTTAATTTCAGTATTCATGTATTCATTGCTAGTATATAGAAATATAATTTATTTTTGCATGTTAATGTTGTATCCTGTGACCTTGCTGAATTCACTTGTAAGATCCGGGAGTTTTCTTTTAGATTCTTTGGGATTTTTTACCTAGATAATCACATCTAAATGGGACGGTTTTATTTCTTCCTTTCCAATCTGTATGCTTTTTCTATCCTTTTCTCACCTCATTGCACTGGCTGTAAGTTCCAGCACTATGTTGACTAAGAGTGGTGAGAGTGGAAATCCTTGCCTTATTTCTGATCTTAAAGGGAAAGCTATCAGTTTTTCACCATTTCAGTTAGCTCTAGGCTCTTTATAAATGGTTGACATTAATTTGGTGAGTAAACTTTGAATATCAAATCAACCTTGCCTCCCTGGAATAAACCCCACCTATCATGATGTACAATTGTTTTTTTATATTGTTCAATTCGATTTGCTAATATTTTGTTAAGGATTTTACACTTACATTCATGAGAGATATTGGGGTGCATGTGTGTATGTGTGTTTTCTTTTGTCTTTGTCTAGTTTTAGTATCAAGTTAATACTACCTTCACAGAATTAGTTGAGAAGTGTTTCTTCCTTTTCTATTTTCTGGAAGAAATTATACAGAATTATTGTTAATTCTTCCTTAAACATTTGGTAGAATTCTTCAGTGAGATCATGTGGACCTGGAGATTTCTTTTGGGAGGGATTTTTAAAATTACAAATTCTTTTTCTTCATAATTATAAATCTATTCAAATGATCTACTTTATATTAGGTAAGTTGTGGTAGTTTATGCTTTTTGAAGAATTGTTCCATTTCATCTAAGTTCTCAAATTTATGTGTGCAGAGTTATAGTTGCTTATAGTATTCTCTTATTATCTGTTTGATGTCTGCAGTGCCTATAGTTGTATCTCCTGCTTTATTCTTGATACTGGTAATTTTTGTCTTCTGTATTTTTTCTTTGGCAGTCTCACTAGAGATCTGTCAGTTTTGTTGATCTTTTCAAATAACTGGCTCTGTTATTGATACTGATCTCTGTTGCCTTACTCTTTTCAGTTTATTGGTTATTGCTCTTAATTTTATTATTTCCTTCCTTCTGTTTACTTTGAGTTTATTTTGCTAATCTTTTTGTAGGTGCTTCAGATAGGAGCTTAGATTATTAACTTGAGAGTTTTCCTCTTTGGTAATGTATGTATTTGTGCTACAAATTTCCCTCTCAGTACTACTTTATCTGTGTCACACAGATGTTGATATATTGCATTTTTATTTTCATTCATTTTTAAATTTTCTTTGAAACTTACTCTTTGACCCATGAATTATTTAGAAGTGTGTTGTTTAGTTTTCAAGTGTGTGAAAATTTTCCTGTTATTGATTTCTATTTTAATTCTCTTGTAGAATACATTTTGTATAATTTCAGTTCTTTTAATTTGTTGAAGTTTAAGGCTGTCATTTACGAAGAATGTGTATTCTGGTGTTGTTGAGTGGAATGGTCAATAAATGTTGACTGGATTCTATTGGTTAATGGTTTTGGTAAGTTCTGTATTCTTATTGATTTTCTTCTAATTGTTCTATCAATTACTGAGGGACAGCTGTTGAATTCTTTGACTACAGTTGTGGACTTATCTCTTTCTCCTTTCAGTTCTATCAGTTTTTGCTTCACATATTTTGGAGCTCTGTTGTTTAGTACATATTCATTTAGGATTGCTATGTCTTCTTGGTGGATTGACCCTTTTATTGTCATAGAATGTCCCTCTGTGTCTCTGGTAATTTTTTTTCCATTGACATCTACTTTATCTGATGTTATAGCCACTTCTGCTTTCCTTTTCTTGATGTTTGCATGATATATCTTTCCCCATCCTTTTACTTTCAGCCTGCCTGTATCATTATATTTGAATTGAGTTTCTTACAGACACCATATAACTGGGTAATTTTTAAGTCCACTCTGACAATCTCTGTCCTTTAGTTGGTATTTAAACCATTTACATTTAATGTAGTCATTGTTATGTTAGGGCTTTAAGTCTACTATTTTATTTTTTGTTTACTGTTTGTTGTCTCTGTTTTTCATTTCTCTGTTTTCTTATTCCTGCTTTCCTGTGGGTCACTTGAAAATATTTTAGAATTCCATTTTGATGTTTTTTGAGTGATGTGTTCGATATGTTTTGAGTGTATCTTTTTCTATAGCTATTTTAGTAGTTCCTCTAGACATTACATCATATAACTTATCATTTGACTGGTGTTATCATTTTACCAGTTTGAAGGAAGTGTAAAAACCTTATCTTTCTTTATGTCCCTTTACCTTCCTTGTTTATAGCTGTCATAAATATCTCTTCTGCATATATTTAGAACCGCATCAATTGCTTCAACTGCCAAACATAATCCAGAAAACTTAAAAAGAGAAATAAAGCCCATTGTATTTGCCCATACTTTTGCTTGCTATGTTCTTTTGTGATGTTCTAAGTTTCATTCTTTTTATCACTTCTTTTTTGTTTAGAGAATTTCCTTTAGTTATTCTTTTAGGGTAAGTCTGCTGGTGACAAATTCTTAATTTTCCATTATCTTGGAATGTCTTGATTTCCCCTTCATTCCTGAAGGATATTTTTCCTGGGTATGGGATACTGGGTTGATAGTTCTTTTCTTTCAGTACTTGAAAATACTGTGCCACTTCTCTCTGGTATCCAGGTTTCTGATGATAAATCCACTGTCATTCTAAATCATTTTGCTCTTCCTCTATAGGTAAGGTGTTGTTTATCTCTGGTTGTTTCTAAGATTTTGCCTCTAGTTTTCAGAACTTTATTTATGCTGTGTCTTGACATGAATGTCTTGGGGTTTTTCCTATTTGGGATTTTCTTAGCTTCTTAAATCTGTACACTTAAGTCTCTTTACAAATTTGGGAAGTTTTCAGTCATTATTTCTTCAAGTACTTTTTCAGCTCCACTATTTTTCTCCTCTCTTTATGAAACTCCATGACACAAACCTTAGCTCCTTTGTTATAAGCCCACAGGTCCCTGGGGCTTAGTGTTTTTCAGCTTATTTTCTCTGATTGAGTAATTTCTATTGTTCTATTATCCAGCTCACTGATTCTTTCCTCTGTCTTTATTCTGCCATTGAACATACCTGAGCTTTTGATTTTGGTTATCCTATTTTTTCAGTTCTAATATCTTCATTTGGTTCTTTTTAATATTTTCTGTATTTTGCCAAGGTTTTATTTTTCATTTGTTTTATGTATGTTCATAATTGCTTGTTGAAACATTTTTATTATGGTTTCTTTAAAATCCTTTTCACATAATTTAACATCTCTGTCATCTCAGTGTTTGCCTCTATTGATTGGCTTTTTCCATTCATTTGTGATCTTCCTTTTTTGTGAGTGAGTTTATTTTGAAAGCTGGACATTTTCATGTCATGTTATAAGACTCTAGATCTTATTTAAGCCTTCTATTTTAGAAGGCCCTGCAGCTGTGAGTGGTGCCCTTTGACAGCTCCGCGGCAGGAGAATGGGGGTGAAGGCAGATGCCAAGCTCCCCACTCAGCCTTCATTGACACCCAAGGGGGAGCTCTTTTTTACTGCTAGTTGGAGTCTGAGAGTCTGGTTTTCCACATGATCTCCAGTGACACCATGGGAGGAGGAGAGTTGTTAGTAGCTGGTGCCTATGTGTCCTTCCCTGACACTACCTGGCACAGTGTTACCACCCCGTGAGGGTCAAAGTATAGGCTCCCCATTCAGCCTTTGATGGTCTGGGTGGGAGTGGGGCCACAGCTTTTTCTGTGGTGTTTGGGTGAATAGAGCAATTATTGTCTAAATGTTTTGTTCTTGTTAGGCTGCTCTTTTCCTAGTGCTTTGGCTAGAAAACAGACTTCTGTTAGAGTTATCTTTTTCTGTGCTTGTTATTATTTCTGGATTGCTGGACACTTCAGCTCCACGTCTGGAATATATGAGGCAAAAGAAAAACCAAGGAACTCACCACCATGCCATTCCTTGTATCCTGAGGTCCCTAGTGGGTCTGTCATCTTCTTTCTGCTATACAGAGTTGTCTTATGTATACCTAATGTTCAGGGTTTTTAGCTTTACTTAGTGGGAGGAATAGGGAAAAGTATATCTGCTCCAACTTCCAGATGTAGAAATACATCCATTTTTAAAATGCTCCTAGGTGAGTCTAATGTACAGTTAGGGCTGAGAACCATTAGGCCACTGAGTTGGCAGTGACTTGGTTCAGATATCCCCAGCCTTGGGCTGTCATTGAGAGCACCCTTCATAAAGTTGACTACTGTCCCCATAAAGGGACATCATATTGTCCCTTTGACCCCCTCAGCCCAGTCCCATGTAAGGCAGGGTTACCCAACTAAGGATAACCTATACTGAAGTCTTGGAGGACTGCTAAAAATGGTGGCCATGAGGGGATTACTATAACAGCCAATATTAGCAGTTATTTTCCTAGTGGGGGTGGGTCATTACTGGATTGGGGTACATGCAGAGGCTTCTCTTGTGGCTGGCAATGTGTTGTGCTGTTTGCCTTAAGCTATGCCTTTGTTTTGTGTGGCTTTCTGCATCTGTATTTTGTTTTAGAATTTTTAAGAAGGTTTTAAAAATAATTTTGAAAAGTATCAGGCTTCTGTTGACTGCCATTTGTGACATCTGACCGTGCTATTGGTGTCTGTAGGTCTCAGCCCCACGGAGCTGCCCTTTGATTGCCTTGAGAAGACGAGCCGAATGCTCAGCTCTACGTACAACTCCGAGAAGGCCATCGTGAAGACGTGGCGCCACCTTGCCGAGAGCTTCGGACTGAAGAGGGATGAGATTGGGGGCATGACAGACGGCATGCAGCTCTTTGACCGCATCAGCACAGCAGGCTACAGCATCCCCGAGCTGCTCACAAAACTGGTGCAAATCGAGCGGCTGGATGCCGTGGAGTCCTTGTGCGCAGACATCCTAGAGTGGGCAGGGGTGGTTCCACCCACTTCCCAGCCACCTGTGGCTTCCTGAGGAGCAAGCCTGTGGCCTGTCCTCCTGGGACAAGCCAAGGACCTAACGAGAGCCCTGCAGCTGTGAATGGTGCCAACAGACCACCAAAAATCGAGGCTTTTCTGCTAGGCCACCATGTGCCTTACACTGTTCAAGGAGCTGGAGGAAATGAGGCCTATCTTCCAGCCTAACCAAAGGTAAAGGAGTAGAGGTGGGACCCTCAGCAGCCCACCTGTGCTTCACCAGGTAGAGTAAATGTTTATTCACTCATCTAGCCCACCAGCCCACCATTGACTCATTCAAGAGACACTGCTGGGTACTCAAATGAACCGAACCACGTGGGGATAACAGAGGTGAAGGATCTGGCCCCTGTATTTAAGGAGCTTGCACTCCAGTGGGAGGCAAAAGGAAGGCACGTTCACAAACCACTTTGCTGGAAGACATCAAACAAGTCGAGTGAAGAGATGCTAAGAAAATGTAATATAAGTTCTGAGGGGAAGATGGCTTCCCACTGGGTGGTGAAGGAAGGCATCCTCATGAAGAAAGCAAATGCAAAAGTTTTGGTCAAATGCCTGTAAAAGCAGACACCACACTCCATGCATTGTTTTGGGTTCAGTACGAGTCTGTTAATGTCATTACGATAACTTTACCTGAGGTCATCTATGTTCCTACAGGCCTTTCGGTCAACAGAGAAAGAGCTCACTCTGCTGCTTCGTGTCGCCAATATGCAAGGCGTGTGTTTGTCCAATCAAGCAGATGCGCAGCAGCCAGTGTCGTTTACTGCCCGAGTCCTAGGCCTGGGGACCCTGGGGTTCAGGATTGCACGTGAATGGCTTTCCATCCTCATCCGCAGGCAGATTTGACCCTTTGGGGGCAGCAGTGCTCAAGGACACAGCAGTTTAGATTATCATGTGTCAGCCTGTGTTTTTGCTTCAGTCAGACATGAGCGATCCACTCTGCTTAGAAAGGGACATGATGACTTCTGAGAACTCAGTCACGCACAAGTCTAGGATCCCAAAGTGTCTGAGCCTGCGGCCGAGCCTCAGCATGGGAGTCTCAGGCTCAGCCTTCTGAGCCGGCCGGTGGGGAGCCTGGCCTCAGAGTCCAGGGAGCCTCTCTGTCCCTCAGCCTCAGTTTCTCTTCTGGAAAGGAGAGGTTAGTTGGTGATTCCGTAATCAGGGAAGTAAGGTTCAGGTGAGCAAAATGAAAGTGGAGCTGTAGGAAGTGAAAACAGCGTGGGTCGTCAAGTAAAATGGGAATAAAAACAGAAAAACTCAGAATTGGCATTTTCGCGGTAACTGCAGTTGTTTGGCATAACATTTATGGAGATAAAGTTAATAAACCAGCATTGTTCTTGGCAGATTCTCGTAATCCACCTGTAATTGCCAAGAGCTCGGAAACCAGGCAGTGACCACTGCTGAGCTCCCTGAGGACAGATCTGACAGCGATTCTTCCTTTAAAAAGTCACTGACTTATAAAGCAAAGTTTTTAAAATTACAGTCGCATGGCTGAACAAATGTTTTGAGGGGAAAATCAGTCATGTCTTTATCACCAACAAGCAATTTCCTGCCAATGAATGCAGAACATACTGTGAGAGGATCATAATTAGGTCCTGAATATTTAATATCATCATTTACTGTGTCTGTTTGCTGCTGTTTTTCAGAACCTATTTGATAAATCCTGTAAGCTAAATACTCCATGGCAAAGCTTAATTATCCTTTTAATTCCTCTTTGAAATCCTTTCCCTGCTTTGTGATAATGATGATGAGAGTCTCCCCTTAATTACACTGCAGATGTCACTTGTGACGAGCAGACTGTCCCTAGATAACAGCACGCACCCTCCTTAGAACAGTGTGTTCAGTGAAGGGGGGGTGGCTGTCCCTGGGCGGGGTGCTTGGCCTCGTTCCATGCTACTAGGACTCTGGGGCCAGCAGGCCTGCTGGCATCAGGCCATGGTCCATCGGCTCTCAACTTGCCATTTTTAGGGAGCTAGTCCTTATATAGTTACACCTTCCTTGTCATTTATTTATTTGGAAACAAATCAAAGAATGATCTGATGATCTTTAGCCTACATCATGGAATTCATAATCAATGAAGCCATAATAATTCTCACTGACCGAACCTGGGGCCCCACGCTGCCATTTTTGTATGGAGATAGTCATTTATTTTGAAATAGTTAAAAACATTCAGAAAATACCCCAGGCTAAGTCTGTGGCCCTTTGCCAGTGAAGTCTTAATCGTCAATATTTTTGTCTAATTCTGTATATATAACTTATTATATTTTATAATCTCAATAAACACTAATAAAAAGGAGATCTACGGACTGCTGCAGTGTGAGCTCTTTGTGTTTGTGGTGGGGAGGGCGGTGAGTGGATAAGCTTCTGTTGTTGTGTTCCTGGTTACTGCACTGTGTATGACAGGACTATGGATTGCAACCAGCCATACATGAAGTGCCTAAAATGTTGTGGCCTTGGGCCACTAACTCGGCAGAAGAAAGTATTATAAGGAGAGCATGTGAAAATTTGACCCAAAAAGATCCTATGAGAACATACACATGTACTAGTGTTCTCTGCCTCCCTAAATATTCTACAATGGAAAGAGTGGAAGAAGCACTCCAAGTAGCCATCAACAACAACAGAGGATTTGGCTGACCTTACGGCATATTATTTACCTCTTTTTGGAAATACTGTTAGAAACAAATTTAATAACTCAAAAATTAACATAAAAGTCTCATTCACTAAAAAAAAAAAGAAAACCATCTGGAACATTGCTTTCCAAGTTGCCACCATTAGTTCATTTAGGGCATGTGTACCTTGCTCCTCCACCAAGACCGCCACCTTGGCTGGTACCAGCCTTGACTTCCTCATGTTTAGTACATGGGGCTTTGATACAGGTTCCTATGTTAATACAGTTCATGAGGAGCTGTATTACTTAGCTACTGCCGTATGACAAACTATCCCAAAATTCAGTTCTTAAAGCAACAATCATTATTATTGAAGCTCAGGGGTGAGTAGGGGTCAGCTGACCTGCAAATCACATGCAGGGAGATAGAGCAGAAGATGAACTTCTGAGATAGGATTCTGAGAAGCTTCAAGAGAAAAACTCCACCACAAGAAATGAAATTACCATTCTAAATGAAGAAGATAAGGTGGGCGTGGTGGCACGCACCTGTAGTCCCAGCTACTCAGGAGGCTGAGGCAGGAGGATCTCTTGAGCCCAGGAGTTTGAGGTTGCAGTGAGCTAGGCTGATGCCATGGCACTCTACTCATGGCAATGCAGTGAGACTCTGTCTCAAAAAAATAAAATAAAATAAAAATTAAAAGAAATGAAGAAGACAGCATTTCTACCCTGAAACTAGGGAAATTAAATGGATCTCAGAAAGAAGTATGGCAGAAATAGGCAGGAAGAAGTTGCAGTCCAGGAGATGGTTGAAAATATAAAGAAACACATTTCAGAATTAAAAATCAAAACCTCTTGCAATTTTTACTAAGAATAGATCAACACTTGGAGAAAACCTTGTTCTAACATAGGGGACCAAATTTTTAGTTTTGTATCAGTGTATTTTTAATATCAAAGCTCAATCTTTAGAAAGATGGAAATAATTTCCTTCTGATTATAGCCAAGTTGATTACATGCAAAGTGCCTTTCATAAATTCATCCTTCATGAAACTTACCATGGCCTTCATGGACATTCCACCACATGGTTAAGACTTTCTTTCTCCTTTGTTCTAACTTCCTCTTTCCTATAAAACCATTTACTACACAATATTCTTTCTCATACAAAATTATTTCCTTTTTTTTTTTTTTAGAGACAGGGTCTCACTGTGTCACCCAGGCTAGAGTGCAGTGGTGCAATCATAGCTCACTGCAGCCTCAAACCTCTGGGCTCAGCGACCCTCCTGCCTCAGCCTCCCAAGTAGCAGGGACTACAGGTGTGTTCCACCACTCCTGGCTAACTTTTCTTATTTTTTTTATAGAAACAGAGTCTTGCTATGTTGCCCAGACTGGTCTCAAACTCCTGCCCTCAATCAATCCTCCCACCTTGGCCTCCCAAAGCCTGGGATCACAGGCATAAGCCACCACCATATCAGCCTCTCTTTTCTTTGTAACCTTCCTTACCAAAAACACATCTTCATACCCATAAATTTGTTTACATCTCTCTCCTACTTACTAGGTCCTTTCTATGTTATTTCTATTTCCTTCCTAAATCCATATTTTGAAACAACTTTTACATAACATTTGAATTAGACAAAATCATTTTTTCTCAACAAAAGCACATATTAAAAATTAAGTTGGTAGACAAAACATCTAAATAAAGAAAAACTTGAGGAACTATAAAGTTTTTATCTTTGATTTTTATGTACAATCTCTTATATTGAGAGTCAAAGGCTATTTGTTTAAAACATATGGAACACTTGCAATTTTTAGTTAATAATTTAAAATTTTTTGATTTGGTTCCAAAACAATAAAATGTCCCTTGGTGTGTCATTTGTTCACACACAATTGCATCTTCAGGAGTCCACCACTGGGGGTAGGAGGAGAAAGGTTAGAGGTTTGCGCTCCCTTACAGAGTCCTGGAAAGGAGAGACGGATTAGTAAATCACATGAACTAAATTATAATTTACCACTTCTTAGCATTGATCTTCAAATCTTTGTAAAGATTTGTACTGGCAATATTCCGATTAGCTCTTTGGGTAAGAATGTTGGTGTAGCTGTTCTCACTCTGCAGACAGGGAAATTCCAGGAGGTGCTACTGACAGGGAGTAGGCGGAGCTGAAACACCTGGCCAGGGAGCAGAGGTTTTTCAGATGAGGGTGTGTGGCTTGGCAGGCGCACCTTCCATTCCTGTGCCTGCACCCAGGGGTAACTTGCCTGGACTCAACGGCTGCCTGGCTTCTGAAAGAGAAGAAAAGGTCAAGAGGCCCTTCCTTGCTTGATGATACCAGCTGAAGCTGCTGGCGAGTCCCATCCCGCAGGGCACACGCCCCCTGGAAGGGACCTGCCGGGACAGCCAGGGCATGTGTACCTTGCTCCTCCGCCAAGATC